GATTCATTCGCGCCTCACTTTCCACTCCTCTTCGGACGCAAAGTTTGAGCAAAATTTCTTTTGTTTGCTCTGACAAACATTTCGCCAGACGACGCGTCTTTGGGCTGGCATTATATATACGATTTTGTTCTCTATTTTTTCAGATTCCGCATACGCACGGTTAGTCGCGGCTACCTTGCAGCAAATCAAGTGAAATTAGGCACATATTTTTGATTGGTTTCCGAGAAAATGCCGAATTTCGTTTGGCTAAGCATTGTGCTGTATAATCAATGTCAGCGAATTTTTGATTACGAACAAACTCTCCGAGACGTCGGTATTTCAATTTATTTATGCAATTTTTGTCAGTCTCGTAATTTATATTCATTTAATTCTTTTGCTTAATTTTGTATATCTTTATGCCATAAATGTGCATTAAAATTAGAACTAAATAGTATTTATTGATTTTTTATGTTGTATGTTTATAGCAAAAAGTAATAATAGCAATAATAAAATAATTTGTGATAAAAATTTCGCTAAAATTTTTAATTATTGGTTATGTATTATCATTAATAACATTTTATTATTATTTTTTTATTAAAAAAAATCCATTCTTATTATTAAAAAAAAATTTCTTCATTTATTTTAATTTAATTCAATTGATATTTATGGTAGGTGTATATATGTATATATGTATTTTACATTAAGTACTAACGCTTAGTCTTTTTTGAGGCAATTGAAAAAATTAAACTTTAATTTTCTCTTTAATATATATTCAGTATTTTTCTTTAATTTCTATAAGCTCCAAAGCAGAGACATATTAAAACTGAAATAATTTCATGCAAAAGAAGTTTGCGATTACACAAATCAAATAAGACTTGAAAGCAAATACTTGACCTCTAATTAAGTAACTATAATTTATTGAATGTCATTTCATTAAATTTTTTATGTTTTTACAACTTATTTAACTTGACAATTAAGCTTGTAGGTAAATTAATGTACGTTCTCTATCGGTATTGTATTTAAATAGAATCTGTAACCGAAATGGACAGACGGACAGAAAAAAATAATGGCCAGGTTCGTGCACAATTCAATTTAAGCCAGCACTGCAAAATTGCTTGACCCCAGCCAGCGAGAGCACACAGAGCAATCCCATTAGGCGCTGCACGCTCCAGTCGAGGCAATTAAACAGCCCTCGTATATCCTACGTCATGCCCAAAAGGGGCGGCGCCCTAGACGCATTTACATACTGTTGCTATTTGCTGTTACTCACCTAGCGACCAGGGATAGCGAAACCGGAAGCACTTTCATTTTGCGTCCACCCACCAAGTAATCCAAGGCCTCCGAGCCGCGACGCTCCTCGATGCCGGCGGTGCCGGCGCCATCTTTTTCATCGGTGGGCAGTTGGGTATTTTGCTGTTTCTTCTTCTTCTCGATGAAGCCAAAGTAGAAGCCAATTACGGCACAGACCACCAGCATGGCTATGAAAACCAAATAATCAACAATGCCAAAATGTTGCAGTGCGCTGCTTAAATCGCTCACGCTGGGCTTCTCCGTCATGCTGGAGGACGATATTGTTGTAGTTGTTGTTGAAAATGTTGTTGGTATTGTTCCTTCTGTGGTGTCAGTGGTGCCGCTGGTGGTGGTGGTGGTGGCAGCGGCGGTGCTGATGCTGCCCAAGCCTGATACACTTGTTGTTGCTTTTGCCGTTGTGCTGCTAATTATGGATTGGACTGTCTGAGCAATCGCATTGACCACTGTCGGCGGCGTATTAACAGCCTCAACCGCATCCATTATTATTTCCTCCCTCTGAATGGTCGTTGACATAATTCAGTAGACCGCAAGTTGCTTTTATGTGTTTATTTTCATTGACTTCCTGTCGTGTTGCCTTTGCGCACTTTTTGCTTAAATGCGCTCAACTTTGATTACTTTTGTATTGGTTTACAGGCACACACAAACACACACACACACACGCTTACACGCTTCGGCACTTGTTGCAGCCCTTTTCGATTTTTCATTAAGCTTCTGTCGGCAGCTTGTGTATCCTAATGACCAGCACGGATAACTTTGACACAAGTAAAACTGGATTACTGGCTGAATTGAAAATTAAAAACAAAAGCTAGTTAATGTAAACTGCATAAATATTGTGAGCTTTTCTTTTCTTCTGTTAATTATTTGTTCTTTATATATTATTTTATAGTTGTACAAAAATTCATGTCTAGAGTACACTATAGAAACAATTTTTTTTATTAATAAAATTTATATTATATTTGAAATATTTCATACATTGTATATTTAATTTATTTAGATTTGAATATATTTATACAAAAAATGTTTGTTAATTGAATGATTGGAAAATTGATTTATTTTAATGTTTATGTACACCTATTTATTTTTATTATAATTAGGCAATAGTTTATATAAACTGCATAAATGAAGTAAACGTTTTTTTTTCTGCTGTTAATTATTTGATCTTTATATTGTCTATAGTGTATTGTCAAAATTTATTTTATAATTTTAAAAAAATTCTGTCTAGAGTACACTATATATATTTTATATAAGAAAGTGTTATTATTTATTTATTAAATTTATTTATAGATATTTGAATATATTTGCAAACAAATAATCGCAAAATTAATTTATTTTTATTTTTATTTACTTTTGTTTATTTTTATTTTAATTAGGCAATCAATCGCACATTCACTTTACTCGACTCTCACTGCAGAATCCTTTTGAAAATCAGGATAAAAACCACACAGATCACATCGAGCGCTCAAACACAAGCTGCAGGCACGAATCACAGCGAAAAACTGAAATTAGAACTCAAACGAACTGAGCATCGTCCACGGCTCTGCTGATCAGATTTAGCTGATGAAAGATGAGCTCATAATTCATGTAAGTCTTGTCTGTGTGTCGAGGTCTTTATCAGCAGATTTAGCGGACGTATATAGTGGCTAGATAAAAACACACACCCACTCGCCCATGGACGGACGTGTGGCGGGAAAGGCTCTTGTGCGCCATTATATGAGTTCAAGTTATACGAGATAAACTGTACTTCTGAATGGCTTTTGCTCAGTTTTTTTCCTATCATCAGGTAGTCGCACGTCAGGTATTATGTTGACATATTTTATAACACCTAGATAGCTCCAATTCTTACTGACGCTTGGCAGGTGCTACTGGTTATGCTTACATTGTACTACAAACGTGTATATAATATAAAGATCATATTCAAATATTAATCAATATCAAAATTTAATTTTATTATATTGTAATTGCATAAAAATAATTCAAATTATAAGAGATTTCTAATAATATTATTATTATATTATTAAATTAAACATTTGTTGTGTTATCCAGTGTAATTGCTCACGATGCAGTCGCTTGAAAGATTTGCCATTTATTTGCACTGCAGAAGGTATAAATGACAATTTGCTTTGTGCGCCCCAAAAGATCATAAACGAGAGGCTGTGCACGCATGGCGTATGCGTGATAATGGCACCCCAACTTGTAAGCGCCTTGAATAAATACATATACAATAGAATGAAGGGAAATAGCTCACACACTTTACATGCTCGAAGAAAGAGCCCAAGTGCAATAGCTGAAATATCAACAAGTCGCTGCCATTGCTATTTACATAGCACTTCATCAGCAATTGCTGCGCTGCTATCACGCGCACTGCACTGTGAGCATTTTTTATTGAGTTCAACTAATGCACATTAATGCGTATATAAAGCATTGATGCGCGTGGAGTGGCGTCAATTGCTGGATATAAACCATATAATAGCCTCTACATGCATCGAGTGCTTATGCTGGCTAATTGCCTATTGAAATCACATGCCAAACCCGAAACATTTGGCAGCGACTATTGGAATTCGTTCTGAACTAAATTCAGTTAGTCGTAATTGCGTGTGGTTTACCTAATTGGTTGTGCAAATTCAATTTGGAAGCCCATCAAGTGTGCTACGAGGCGAATGCGTAAAGCGAAACATTTGAAGAGAAACATACAATTCTAATCCACATTTACGTGTTGCCTTATAGCAAGGCAAGCAGGCAAACAACAAAAGGTCTTATAAGTTTGTTATGAAATTACATAAATCTGAATCTACCGAGCCGAGCACATTTACCCTTTAGGTGCCAAGCCACAACAGAAACCAACAGAAATTGTTTCACGTAAGAGCAAAAGGGACGCAAAGTGCTGCACAAAATTAAAATTTAATTACACTTAATTTGTAAACAAAATTATAATACTAAAAGCGAAAAGTGAAAAGCAGAAAACAAGCTTAACCTAAAAAAAAATTATAATAATAATAATAAATGCCTGGCCAGGCCAAAAAATAAACAGAAACACGCAGAAACTTGACCTCTTTTTTGGGGTCCCTCATATAAATATGAAAATATATATATCAATGTATTTGTGCTCTATATATATACATATACAGTATCTTTCCTTTAGCTTTTTAATTTGTCTAGAAATCGTAGTTGAATTTCATAGCAAAAGCTAAAAACAATCAACTACAGCTTTACTTTAATGCGTGGGCGAAACTCTTCTTCTTCTTCTTCTTCTGGTACTTCTGCTTCCAGGCGAATGTGCTCTTGTGTATTTGGCAAAAGGATACGGTGTAAGAGTATTTCTATACTTTATGGGCAACATCCGAGTCTTTTACTATATTGTTTTTGTCACTGACTTGACTTTACCATCAGTTTGCTGTGTTCACTTTTCCTATACCCAGTGCCTTCACAGAGATGGGCTGGGGTATGATTCGAAGTCAAAGTGAAACCTTACATTAATTAATTTTTTGTAATTTATCAATCAAGCTTGAGTATTTTTGTGAGAGCTAACTGCTTGTTAAGGGGATTTAATGAAACACCTTCACTTATATTTGCATTATTAATGATTCATGTTTCTTTTCTCACGGGAATTATCTTGATTATACCTACACATCTGCTTTTTTTATTTTTAAGCGTGTTACATCGAAACATATATACTGTATATGGTATATCATATAATACTATCCAACATAGCCTGCCCGCTAATCCTGCACTCTCTATTTGAACGCTTGAAAGAGTTTTGTTTTTATTTTCATTTCGTATTGCACACATTTGAGCCAATTTAACGCTTCCGTGTGTTTTTTTTTTTTTTTTTTATACTAGCCACGCCCGCTGCCGTAAAAGCGAAATGTGCTCTGGCAGAGTTTTATTTACTTTTAGCTCGCAACTACAAGTGTACAAAAAGTGTGCAAAAACCCCTGATGTGACTTGTTAACTGCACACTGTTGCAGAAAACTGTTCTCCTGTGCTGCAGTTTATGCTGCTTGATAACGGACATAGTTATTATCAAGTGGATTAATTAAAATGCAGTGAAGTGAAGATATCTGAAGGGTTATTCGTACACGATTCAATCAAATCAATCACCAATAATACACGATTCAGCAAAGCATCAAAATGACATACTGAAGATTTTATTAATTTATTGCAAATTAATTAGTACATATGTATATCATTATTGTTATTATATTTTATTATTATTATTATTATACGAAAATTAAGCACAAACTTGCCTTTTCATTAAGCTCTAAAATTGGCTTTAATACCCACACCAATAAAAAAAATTAAAATAATAAAAGAAATCAATTGAGGTAAGCTTAATTTATGAAAATGTTACACCAAAAAACCTTAGTTAAAAAAGAAATGAAACGTATTGTTTTTATTATTAGTAGTAGTATTATCAGTAGTATTATTTTATTATATTATATTATAT